TTTTACGGGGACTTGAATTTAAATCATGAAGAACAAAATTTCAAACTTTGAAAAAGAAATTAAAAACAAGTAATTATCGCTATTGATCGGAAATTAGTTGACTTTTCAAGGGGAAAAAAGCAACTCCCGTTCAATGAGCAATAATTAATAAACGCGAAGGTGTTTCGTCTTTTACTCAAGTAAGAATGATGATGCCAAACTGGCAAATTAAGTTAGGCCAAAATTGTAGTTCCGTGAAGTGATGGGATTTGAGTGAAAAGCAATTTATATAGTAAAATTTATAAAATTGGAATTATGAAATAGAACTCAAAGTAACTTCTACTAAAGAAATATTGATTATATTATCTCCTAATATAAATTTAGCAGAAGTATCAAAAAAGAGGGAACCCATATGTTAGGAAGTTTAATTTTGAACTACTTTTTGATACTTCTAAATTTATATTAGGAGATAATATAATCAGTATTTTAGCAAAAACGTAATGACTAATACAGTTATTACCACATTAGTGTTATTACTCAATTACATCTTTTGACATTAAAACTTAAATTCCACTTTGTAAACGGCCATCATAATTGGAAGCATTAGGAATTTGCGAGATTAATCTGGTCACTTTCTGCAAATGATGATACACCTAGTGAAAACGGCCGGCCGCCAAACTTTTGACTACATCATAAATTTGCACAATTAAAAAAACAATTAATTTAGACTATTTGGGCAACTGAACGCAGAGGCTGCTTACCAAATTACCGAAATTTATTCATGTGGGAGAAATAAGTTTTGCTTTCAGTAGAGGGTCCTACACGGAACGAAAAACATGGTATGCGTTCCTGAGAGAAAGCGACGTCGACTATGACACAGACTGGGCACTGCCCAATGGGCAGACCATGTGAAGGTGGCAACTATTGACTTCTAATTCCGTGAGCGCGAGAGGTCGACAAGTGATGGTAATTAAATGCCAAGTGATGCAAAATTTCTTTGTGTTTAATTAGCGCGAGAAGTTTCTAAATAATTGTTTTACTTTTCTAATCGGTACAATTCCGTTTAAGGGACCGTAAAAAATTGCTGCGAAAATATTTGCGCAAAAGCCCCAAATCTAGTAAACTCGCCCATTTAACCACGCGTCAAATCTAGCGAACGCACCAATTTCAAAGTGTTTAAATTTAGATAGTTCTATATTTGTAAGAGGCCATTTAAATACTAGTTTAGTTTTTTAATTCTTTTTGATAACGCTATGGATTTAACAATTTGGAAAAAGGCTAGTGACGTCTGCAATAGAATTTTTTCAAAGAAAAGGCATAATTCATGATAGAAAATTACGTTCGAACAACCACGAGATGAAATTATGCTGTACCGGTAACTCAGTAGCGAAATGGTAGTACAGGAAGGAAACTTGTAATGAGAAGAAAGGATTAAAGAAGTCAAAACTGGTTCGAAGGACCGAAAATCTCCTTTCTTACAGCCGTTAGGTTCATCTGTTTTGGGTGTCAGGAGATCACATCTATTGAATTTTTGAACTCTAGCTGAAGCTGAAACACAATACATTTGTAGACTAGAGCAGTTAAATGCGTGAGGTGTGTGCCGCAGCTTTAATTGCTCGGTCTAAGTTGAAAATCGGCGGACGTGGCAAAAATATTGAAGTTAACTTAAAGCCTTTTCAGTAGAAGAAAGAATAATGTTGGATGTGATCTTCCACTAAAATGGGTTTTCGGCAGATTACGTAGAGAATCAAATGAATGTTTCTCAGTCGCTGTTCCAGATCGATCGACCAAAACCTTACTGAACGTTATAAAGCAAAACATCGCTAAAGGAAGCATTAGTTATACTGACTGCTAGAAATCATACAAGTTAGATGAAATACAAGATGCCGGTTTTGAACATTTTACTGTAACTACAACTACAATTTTGTGGACCCCGAAAGTGGGTGTCATACACACAAAACAGTAGAGCCGCTGTAGGGCCATGCTAAATGGGTAATAAACGCCATCGGGGCACTGCTCGACAGCATTTCGAGTCAGAATTCATGTACAGATGTTTAGAAAAAAAAAAAAAAAAAAAAAAAAAAAGAAGTCTCCTCTGCAATGTTAGAACACCCTCCCCCCCCAAAAAAAAGGATATGCCTCTCGTTTAATTTCACTTATGCTTAGCCGTTTTTTATAAATTAAAATGATAAAAAATGCATTATGTAAATTTAACCTTTCATCGAATTAATTTAATAATTTTAGACAGTTATTTACTATTATGCTTCCACTCGGCATGTTTAGCCTTTTTTTTATAAATTATAGTAATAAAAAATGTATTATATGAAATTAACCTTTCATCTAAATTAAAATAATAATATGAGATATTTATTTACTACTAGCGGAAGTATCCGATGCCAGTTAAGTCAGATTGAGAGTAATGCACTTAACAACAAGGAGAACGATACCGCTGTAATCCTTCTCTAATAATGATGGAAAAAAATACGATTCATAGTCATACATTTTTCAGTCTGATGCGATATCGAATCCACATAAAAATTTCGATAGAACAATAAGCTAATTCTGTCTCATTATATCAGCAACAATGGCACACAGTTTTTAACGATTTTCGTCTTTTTCATCAAATGGTCGTAAAAGCTCAAGTTCCATCCAATATTTCACCTATATTAAAATGGATTAAATCTGGCAAAAAAAAATATTATGATTGATCAGAAATCATCAATAACACGAACAAACAAACAAACACACATTGTTCTTTTATATGTATAGATTTTTCAAAACTTACAAATTTTTGACTAACAAACTCTACGATTTGAAAGTGAATAGAAGCAACACAATTTCGAAATAAAGCATTTTTATCCCCAACACGTGAGACTGTTGCCTCTCGGAAAAATGACTGCGAAAATTAATGTTTTCGGAGTTTTTAATTAATACGTCACCTGATTAAAGTCGTACGAAGATGGGAATAGTCAAAATGGCTTCCCATAAATTTTTGGAATCGGGAATTATGCATCTAATCATTGGCGGTTCTATTTTTATTATTTCATCGTAAAATTTAGAAATTTATTATTAACAAACTCTAGGATTCGAAAGCGAGCAGTGGCAACAACTTTCGAAATAAAACAGATTTTCATCTCCAGCTTGCGAAACTACTGACACCCGGAAAAATGAGAGCGAAAATTATCTTTTTTCCGAGTTTTTAATTAATAGTTCTCATTTTAGCTTCTTTTTTTTTATTTTTTATTTTTTTTTATTTTAGAAAAAGTGGACGCTCACCTTTTCCAGGACCCAGAAAACAACTCACAGAAAACTGGGGAGCCTGTCCGGGATACGATAAAGAAACATGAAAGGTAAAATACTGTCTTATGCTAAATTACTATTTTAATTATGAGTATGCAGAAAAATACTAAATAACAAGATTTGAAAATAATCAAGGCAGAGTTAGGTCTAACAGTGCCAGGTGAAGCGAAAGTTATCGAAGTCAAAACATTAATTGAGAATGCTAATATTTAAAAAACTGACCTTGAATTTTTTCGTTGAATTATTAAAACGGTTGCGGAGGACCAAAGTACTAAGCAACTGAAGAGCAGTCAAAATTAGAGGCTGAAAAAATTAAGTTAGCTCAGCTTGAAAATGAAATCGAGCTCCGAAGTAAATGGCTGGTGAAAATTCTGATCACGCTGTTGATTACAAATTCTGAACCAGCATCGCGGAGAGAAAATATCATCAAAAGCGTTAAAACCCTGATTATAGCTATTCCTCAGAGATCGGAAGCTCTGCATTTGTTTTTCAATCACTTGAAAAGCATTTACTACCGAAAGCGTACAAGTTGAGTCAAGATCAGAAATGTTGATTAATTTTTGGTAATAAATGCAATCATGTTTTAACGTATACTTCCGAACAAGAAATGGCGGATTATGATAAAATAAAAGCATTGATCTTGAAGGAATTTCAGCCGACATCGGGTGAATGTTTGAATGATTTTAAAAATGGGCAGTGATACTGATCTGAGTCGCGTGTTCAGTTCGTGTCTCGACTCAGTGCAACTTTCGATTATTATTGCAGGTTAAGAGAGATAGATGAATTAAAAAAATTATGTGACTTCATTGTATCAGATAAGTTGTATGAAACGCTTGATTCTAAAACAAGCAAACATAATGGCATTTGGGAAGGCCAAAATTTGTTCCTACTAAATCCATCGGGAAGAAAGTGTGATTTATTTTATTCGCTCAGACGAAACTCCTTAGCCGATATCAGCAATACGTGAATCGAAACTCCAGAAAATAAAAGGCTTAATTTTTCAAAAACTATCCTGAAAAAGCACAGTGCTATTCGAAGGATTCAGTGTATACAAACTCGTAAAACAAAATAATAGCAAACTGGAAGTGTATCTCTGCTGTGTGTGAGGAGCTAAAGGTGAATTATTTCATCTTGCACGAAAATGCCCCAACGTTTCGGAAAAGATGAAAAACCGATCTAGAAAAAGGTGGTATCGGATTATTCCTTCACTACGTTATTTTTTATTTCGATAAACAAGAAACTTTTTTAAAAAAATGAGGAAATATTTAAATAAAAAAAAATAAAACATAAAGGAGTTATAAAATTTGCATTATGAGACTTAAAGCATTTACTCAATTTAAAAAGGGCAATAAAATTTCCCATTATTTATGCCTTTTATAATTTTGTGCCATTTTATGTGATGTCAGAAAATCGCATCAAAGTCTATAAACTATAAATAAAAAAACTTAAGCAAGCATACAAATCAAATTAATTGAAACTGATTTTATATATGTATATATATATATACATATCCATTATAAAATTGATAACATAATGCAAAAAAATTAGTAAAGGTAGTAGCAAGCAAGTTTCATAAATAAGCACATGAAAGGTAAATGTAAATGAGAGAGGGAAACTTCTGTAAATTGAATACTTATGTAAGCAAATAATGAACATATTAATTAGTTGCAACAAGCTAATATTGCTAATGCAAGCTGCAGCATTTGTTAATAAATGTTTACCTCTCCATGCAAATCTGAATTTAAAAGCATAAGGGCACAGGTTAGTGTATGAACAGCATCTGAAACAGAAACAGAAGAATTGAAGGTTTACACAGTTAAAACAAAACAGCAAAATAAAAGTCAAACCTTTTAAAGTTGCAGCATTAATCACAATACATTACTGTTTCATAGGGACAAAAATTTCAACAGAAACCATGAACAAATCAAGAAAAATAATATTTTTAATCTTCAATCAAAATTCTTTTTAAAAAGGATAGGAAATCTTTGAAAGGTAAATTAGTGATCTGAAATCTTTCTGCAAACAATTTAATAGCCTTGTAATAAAATACTAGTAACTGTCAAAGTTTAGCAATACGTTTACCCAGATAAAATACTTTGAAAAAAAAAAAAAAAAAAAAGAAGTTGACACGAGATTTCTCTTTCAGGAACACTTCCTTCTGCCTTGTTCTTTTTAAGTTTCTTTCAGTGAATATCTACACTCACTCAGCCTCAGCCAGTAATGTGTAATGTATTACATACATTAATGTATGTAGGAGGTACTGCCTCAGCTCTCCAATCGTCGCGTCTTGCGCTTCACTTTTAAAATACCTATGGCCTTCGGCGGTATTTCCAAACATAACAGTAAATAGACTCAGTGCGTTACAGGTTCGTTGTGCCAGCAAGATACAAGGTCCAAAAAGTATGATAGATTAAAATTACCTATACCACCGTTAGGGGCTTAGCAGGGCTTAGTAAAGCTATAAACGGGACATTAAATACTAAAACGGAGCCATCTAGGCCCACAGACAGCTGATCAGCAACTATATTGCTTTTTTCGGGGGGGGGGAGGGAAAGTTTAACTACTACAGACCTAAACTTCTTCTCTAAAGACTGGTAATATCTACCAGCCACTCCGACAAATAACGCTTAATTACAAACTCTGTAATATAAAATAAAACACATGTTACATGTACACTGCGAAAAAAAAACAGTTTTATATATCTCCCGTTCTATTGGGCCGATTGACGAAATTCAACTTGCGTTTTTCATGTCTCGAAAGCGCGACTTAGGATATATATTAGATTTATATATATCATTACTCTAATATAGGTATTTTGACACAAAATAGGGCTTTTTCTGGAATGGCATGTCATTTTTTTTTTTTTTTTTTTTTTTTTTTTTTTTTCATATTTCGATGCTACGATTCAAATTATGCCAAACTGCCAAATTTTGTAAAAATTGTAAGAATAGTTTTTTAAAAAAATTAGCTTTCAAATTTTAGCTCCTCGATGTTAATTGAATTTGATATCTATTTAATAGTATCTCTCTCTCTTTTTTTTATTATTATTATTAAAACTACTTTATTCCTTCTTCCAGAATTCGAAGTTTAGGCTTAATCCAAATATAATTCGCACATTTTTTTGATTTATTTTTATATATTTTTTTTATAAATTTCGAAAAAAAATGTATTATAACCTATCCGTTTTTTACCATCGTCTAAAATTAGATGTTTCTAGGCACACCTGCAACTCACAGTTTTTATTCAGAATTTTATAAGATCTAGAAGTGTTAGAAACATTTTTTTAATTAAAGAGTTCTGTAAATTTCCATAAAAATTATGACTTACTGTATCGTATGAATTAGATATTCTTAAAAAATTAAATAAAATTTTAAACTATTAAAAAGTACTTTAATGCTTTTAAATCACTCAGTTATTTATTTAGTTACAGAAAGATTAAATTTACAAGGTAAATAAAAAATCCTATATTTTGCCGAGTGTCCACACAATTAGAACTGGTTATGCGTGGAAGACATATTTCGCATAGTGGCAATATCTCTCAAGAACAGTGGACGATACATGGTAGCATAACTTAACGTAAGTTGACTGTCCAAAATTTTGGAAAGACATAGCTAAAGATGTTCCTAATAACAAAATAACTATGTCTATCCTAAAACTAAAATACATAATTCATCATACTGACTATATTATCAATCATTAAGTGAAAATTACGTTAACAAATCCACATAAAATACAAGCTCTAAATAGCAATCAATATCACACAAATAAAAGAATTTGCATAATAAATAAATAACGTACCTTGAGACTTAAATATATTTGGATTGGAATCAAGGTAACGCTTAGAGAAATGCACTAAAACTCTTTCTCTTTCTTGCGTTTCTCCTACAAGGCAGAACTGGCTCAAAAATTTCCTAAGGGCAACATCTAAACTATCTCCAGTAAAATCGAAGAATTTTAAATATTCTTCAGCTACTGCTCTGCTAAATTCATTGCTGGGAAAAGATAAAAATGCAATAAATATTCATAATAAATGGTTTTAAGAAGTTTTTTGAGAGATAATAACGGATGTCTGTCAATAAAAATTAATTAGAAAGCAAAAACGTATATTAATAAAAAAAGTTTCACAAAAAAATAAATAAACTTCTTATGCTGCATAAGAATTATATCGGCTAAATAAGCTTTCTATTTACAAACTATTAACGTTTTAAAAATTAGTAAACTCAATGGTAGCAAATCAGATTTTCTCGAAACGGTTCATATCTATAAAAATATCTTGGTTCTGATCCTAACTTTCATCCTTCTTTACCGTTTGCTTTTATAAAATATGATTTTTAGTTGTCGTTCATTCACCTTTCGATCAACAGACAGCACTAAGCATTTCGTTTTCAATCACTTTTCATTATCTAGATAGAACATCGGTATTTAAATTTTCTGGCAGTGCGACCCCGTAAAAATGCAAATGATTCCAAAAACGATTCCGTGACCCAGTTAGAGCATCAACTCTTAGTGATATACCATAAATTTAGGTTTTTTAGAAACTTTAGCTACCTTGCGACCCCACTAGTAAATTTCGCTACTCCAAATGGGGTCACGACCCTGAGTTTCAGTACCACTGAACTAGAACATTAGTTCTCACGTAAAGAAGTTTTTTTTTCGGGGGGGGGGTCATTTTCCTTCTTGTGCCTGAAAAATATAACTTTATTTTGCCTTCGAAACTGTAGTGTCGTAAATTATGCCAATTTATTTGGCTCATTACTGGTTTCTTACAAATTTAATTCTTTGGCATGTTCTTTTATAACACAGAAAGCCTGAACTCTAAAAGCCGCCTTCGTTTCCTCAATCACAAAATTTCATTTCGAGCAACGTTTTATTCAAAGAAACAATAATTAATTATATGAAAGAAAGCAACATATTTTTTTCAGCAAACGGGAAACCAAAATTTTCTCTGAAATACACTGTGAACCCATATTTTCTGCTTCCCACAATGAATTGTACTGTCTTACCAGCTTGATTAAAAAATGCGTCTGTTGTATCCTTGCCGAATATTCTTTCTTGGCGATTTAATTTAGAAACTAACATTTTAATTTATAGTGTCAGTCAGCACTAATTATAACTACATAATATAAATGCAGACATTATATTTTACGTTTATGGCGGTAAAGAGAATGCGTTCCTGGGTTTTGATAGATAATATTATTCCCTACATAAAATTCCTTTAAAGCAGAAATGACGAACATTTTAAGACCAGCATATCCTAAACACGAAAGTTGTTTGCGAAGACGTATATCTCTCTTTAAAGGAAATAAAAAATATGTTATTTATCCGTTCAGTTATTAAAACGCTTAATCGTATGTGTTGCTATACGTTACATAATGTATTGTCAAGGAAGGAAATGCAAGTTAAAAAAAAAAAAAAAAAAAAAAAAAAAACTTACATGTAATCCAGTAGTAATAATAATAAAAAATTTTATTAAAAATTTATCATTAAATCATTTTTATATATCTCGTTAATTAAATAGGACGAATAAGTAAGGAAAAGTTAGTGTTTTTTTACCTAATTTTTGTTATGGGGGTATATTACCACCACTGTTCGCTTTAACTAATGAGCTTAAAGTAATACAACGAAAACTATTCTGCTTTTAAAAGCAATTTTGAACTGAAAAAATTGTTACGAATTTTATATATATACAAATACTTTTAGTGAAACTATATGTAAAACTGTAGTATCTCTTGTGTAGTCAGTCTAGCATAATATGCTTCAAAAATGCGAAGGTCCAAAAATGCGAAATAATGTTTCATGGGCAAGTCCATTTAACACTGAGGTAAATGGCTATCTCGCTAAATATGCATGATAGCGCCAAGATGTCGAAGGTTTTGGCGACTAAATTTTGTTGCTAAGTTTGGCTAGAAATCGCCAAAAGTGTCCAAACTCTGATTCATAAATGTAACGTAACTGTATTCGGCGCACCCTTTATGTAACTGTAACTGCATATGCCTTCCAGCAATTTCGAGAAATCGAAGGTCTGGAAAATTTTCGTTGGCCGGGTGAAAACTACCGAAGTGAGCATCAGTTCTTATTTTCGAAGTATGGAGAGATGTCCGATCAAGCTTCGCTCTTTAGACATGATTTTCATTGTGTTGTGTTTAACGTTCATTGTGTTGTGTTTAAAGTTTGAAGAGGTAACTATTGATTGTGTTCTGTCATACTGAGAAGTGCTACGAGTGATTTCGAGAAAAATTTCAGAATTCTACAGTGTTCCTTTTGTTAAAATAGATTTTATCACGCTATCATCGGTTCTGTGTGCATTCAGTCCATTTACGTATTTAACAATATGTAAGAAGAACTTTGTATTTGGTATCATTAAACTCAAGTAAATAGGAAATTAATGCGTTTAGAGCCGAAGCAAGTAAATCTAACTTAGCTTGGCAATAAATACTGCTCACACAAAGTAATAAAGTAATTCAGCACGAAATCTGAACTGAATTCTAACAAAGAAAACTTTTGCTCTCGAGTGCTGGTGAACGTTGTTTGTCTGCATTGACACTCGTGACATAATTCGCCATCCGAGATTTGGTTTACTCTCGTAAACAGCTTCCTTGGTCACCTAACCTTAAATAATTCTGAAACGGAATGGAATTGGAATTGTGCGGGAATAATTACGGAAATTCCTAGAATGCGAGCTAAGAGATGGAGATACTCGCCTCCTCCATCATTTTATTTCATTCGTCTATCAAAATATCTTACAACTATTAAGTTATAAGACATTTTGATAGACGAATGAAATAAAACATTTTTGCCTCAAATAGTCTCTAATTATCTATTCTGCATCTAACTGTGTCTTTCGCATTTTTCACGGGAGGCTGAGAGATTATCAGTTTTGCCACAAAACTGTACTTTTTTGGCAGTTCAGAATCTTAATATGCCTTTCTTTTATATAACGAACTTGAATTTTGTAATATGCTATATTTTAGTACAATAAGAACTTTCAATAATCAATTAAAACTACAAGGATATACATAATTTCATAAAACATAACAAACCTCATAACGTATATAAATTACATAATACATATATTGAAATAAATAGAAGCAAACTCCCAAAGTTTTCTCACAAATTTCACAAAAGCTCAGTGTGTCTTAACTTCGCTTGATATGTTAGATACCTATCTGAAAATCCATTAAAAAAATAGTTTTCCATCATTTCTGTACTATGCACTCCTTCTACCATTGCTAGACGATCAACTCCTCCCCCTCCTTTCTAAAACTCGAAAAATACATATATACTCATTTAAATTTAGATTATCTTTTAATACGAATAGAATCTTTTAATCGTATGATCATTGTTAATAAATCAAACAAGAAAAATGTGGAAAATGTTGATAAATAAGAAAATTTGAAAAGTAGTTTTATTTTCATAAACTAAAAGTAAATAATCAACAAGTAAATAAAAGACTGACCGCATTCCCTTCCCTGAAATTATGAAATCATGCTCCGGTGTTGAATCCCTGCATTAAAAACATTTATTTGCAGGTCAATGTAAATTGACGGTTTAAAATATATAAATTTAATTATATTTGGTGATGTAGCACTATTTTGTGATTTTCTGCTAAATTTTGACTGCAAATCCACTTTTGATGATAAGAATCCTCACATTTAAAAATATGTTTTAAAATCTATATGGACTGGGAGCTAATTTTAACAGATACTGTTTGTTTTGAACGTATAGAATCAGCTTTGTTTTTTCAAACCAATTTGGAGCTCAGAGCTGACACAGCTTCCTTGGAAAAAAAAAAAAAAAAACAAGAGGAAGGTCTTTATAAATTGAAAATAACAAAACCTAAGGCAGAAGACAAAATTACCTGTAGAAGCACAAAATATCAGTTTGTGTCTATTCCAAGAAGATACTGACACCTAGTTTATGGAAAATAACCAATTCGTTTATACCACGGCTTTTGATATGTTGTTGGGAAGGAAGAGATTTAGAATGAAAACATACTATATTTAAAATGTGTACTATATTTAAAATTTGTATCAAATTATATTTAAAATGTGTACTATATTTAAAATTTGTATCAAATTATATTTAAAATGTGTACATAAAGTGAATATTCCTGCACCTTTTATATACATTTTAAATATACGTAGTTAAAAATGTATTTTGAATGCAACCGTTTTAAATGGCATGCGAAATTAGCTGTTTGATCCAAGTCAAGAAAGAGAAATTCACTCACGTTTTGCAATACAACCAAAATTTAAGATTTAATTTGCGTAAGGATTACTTTTAAATTCATTCTAAATCACCTGAAAGACGAAGGAATAAAACAAACAAATACAAAAATAAATTCTATTTGGAATACAGTATTTAGAAAGTATTTAGCGCTAAATGAAATGACATTATCAACTAATGCATAACATGTAGGCACTTTTTATTGGGAAGAATTGATTACTTTTAGCAAGCACATACTCTTTCCGACTTACAAGTCTGATCTTTCATCAGAAAAATGTAATAAACGAGAATTACTTACTCATTCGATACACGTAAAGCCCATGAAAATTGTGCAAACATACTTAGCGATATTAAGATGTTTAGAGATATTATCATTCAGAAGCACGATTTTCACTAATCGTATATATGAATAAATGGATTACATATGTTTAATGTGTTATTATTTCGATATAAAATGTACCTATTTTGATGACATAATGAATTTTAGAGCAATGAAAAAGACATCATTTTGACTTCAAGTGAATTTACTACCTAAAAGACAATCCGTAAGTTATTTTTAATTGGGAGGAGGGGGAAGAACAATACCCAACACAGCCTACTGCAAAAGTGGTATTCGTTATTAGAAAATAAAGTAATTCAAAAATCACAGACAAGGAAACCAAGTACAACTTATTATAGGATAATCTCACATCAAAGAAATGATTATATCAAACGACGTGGACAATATTCGACATGCATTTTATATAAAATGTCCACAAAATACCAGATGATGAGCACCTTCCACGACTTCAGTTTAAGAGATAAAAAATAAAAAATCTGTGTTTATATTACGTAATAAAAGTAAAGCTGGATTAAGTTGAATAGATCAAACGATTTTCTTCAACATTGGAGTAATTGCTTTTCTGTAGGTTTTAGGACTGTCATCGATTTTTCTTCCCTTTTCCTATCACCCCTCTCTATTTCTGTATGGTACTGAAGTTTCTTCCACTCTACCTCCCCAGATCCAATCAATGTGTAGCAATTCGATCAACTGGGTATCGAATTTCTTTCTTTTTCATTTGGTCCCACATTAATCAGAACCATTACAGCAGTAGACCGACATACACCATTCCAGATCATTCTACTTCTTCTGCCTCATTGTACTTGAGCCTTTTATTGAGCCTTCAAGTTCCATTATGTACAGCAATGAATTAAAACTAAGCTGGAAGAACTTTGTGCATTGAAGTAAGAAATGAGCTTTTACTGTGGTTAAGTGAATAACAAAAAAAAACAAAAAAAAAAAAAAAAAAAACGCTTAGGTTCTGCAAAAGAAATAAATTAATGCAAAAAATTGCGATTATGCATAAAATGTAAGATCCATCGTAGAACAGATTTAAATAAAACTGATAAAAACTTCGTATCATTCATACACATATTTAAAGTATGAGAAATAATTATGAAAGGCTTAAAAATCACATAACTGAAACAGGTCTTAGACGTCACGAAAATTGATTTTATTACAGACCGTGCCCATAAAAGTCCTTATCCGGCCTTTGTTTTCGCAACAATTGGTCGCAGACATATACTTCTACTTAAAAAAAAAAAATTAATGACGCAAAGATTTATATTTGTCATTTTTAAAATTAAAGAAATAAGTTTTGTAATAAATACAAAATCTCACTTTTTATACATTCTTACATTCCCTATTCAGGAAAATGTTATACTCCTCATTAACAAAACACAGAAAGCGAGACTCCCGTACGACAAAAATTGACCAAGCTATTTCATATAAAAATCGTAGATCATATTCAGAAGCCGTACAGAAGTTGAAAAGCAAAAATGTTTGTTCTTCAATTTGTATACGACCCCTAAATATGTAGCAAAAATAAAATATCGTGCTTATTAAAACTAACGCACACACTGCGCAAAAAATAAATGGGACAGTTCTATATCTCCCGTTCTACTGGGCCTATTGACGAAATTCAAATTTCGTTTTTCATGTCTCGAAAGCGCGACTTAGGATCTAGATTTATATATAACATTGTTCTAACATAAACTAATTAAAATTAAATTAAAAAGCCTATGACTTGCGCTAAAGCTGCAAAGTAATAAACCAATAATTTATAAGAAAATTTTCCATATAACTTCTCCAAGGAACAGAAATTTAAAACCATCAATGAAAAAATTTATTAGAATATAAATTAGTATTTTAAATTTTAACATTTTGTTTAAATCTGCTAAGAAAACTCTTTAATCGCAAAAATAAATTTTAAATATTGAAAAAGTAGCCATTGTCATTGATCGCAGATTAATCGACTTATCAAGTGGATAAACCAATCTATCATCAATTAACAATAGCTAAATTAAGAGAGTGTTTCATCTTACTTCCATGTAAGCATCAAATTATTTGCTAGATTCAAACCATAAGTCACATAAATACTTAATCCAAATAAAGACATTAGTCCCTTTAAGCCAAAAAGAATCTTGTAAAACAAAACAGCAAATAATCTTAAAATTAAAGTTAGTCAATAAGAACACAATTAATCTGAATGAGATGCTTACTTTAGAAGACACATGTGCCAGACGAGAGAGAGGAGCTCTTATCCAACAGCAACCCACAGTGTAATTCTCGATGTTGGGATGCATAAAGCAAGATTTCAACAACTGCCATATGCGCATGCAAAAGCGGGATTCGTGTCAGTAATATGAGCTTACGCCCTTCATGCATCCATGTGCGTTGTTCAATGCACCACTGCAGCTACATACACTTAAGCTGTAGCGTTAACGTAAGGCAAAGCAATGACTGTTGTGAAAATAGCCTGTGGCCCTCAAAATGACACCTCAGTGTACGTGCAGGAACACTTTTGTTTTGTCACACAATTTATTCCCTATGTTAGAATGCATGATAACGCTGCATCATCCATATGGGCCATTCGCACAGGATGCCTGTTCTCTCGGTCACAGGTGTATCGAAATGCTGATTAAGTTTCGCTCCATCCATTCTTCCTCGAAATATCGCGTCTATAGCCGCATGACAATGGTACGATTTCAGCCACCCCAAGCAGCAATTTCTTTGCAACTAGCAGTCAAGGTGCGCTGTTATTTTTTTCACGACCAAATTCGAGCTCCCGTTGCTGTACGTTCTACCTTTTTCACAAGGCATACCCTACTTTCAATCAAACAAATGAAAATGAAATGCGATTCCGGTATGGATAATCCGTCCTTTTTTCTTGCTCCTTTGTACTGATTTTATGTGCGTTACAGTTATTTGCATAAGAGCTGATTGCTAATTATTTTAATATCTCGCTCTGTTCTAGGTATAATGTAAATTTCACATCGATATGCTGCTTCTTTCGAGATATTGCAATTTTATGGTCAGCAACGTAACTATCTCAAAAGTATTATATACATGAATTTTAACATTGTCTGTTATATTGTACAAAACAAGCCGTTAATAATGTCAAAACTCGTATTTAAAATATTTAATCGAATTTTAGAGAATGGAAGGAAATGAGTAGCTGGAAATATCAGAAGCATAAAAACTGGATAAAAAACCCTTTTAATACTTTTAATAAAGATGATATTTGACTTAAAATATTAGCTCAGTACAAAATATTTTTCACTGTAAGGAATAAATATTCCAATGTTCATAAGATATATTGCTTTTTTTATGCAATGAAAAATACTGCAAAATAGTTTCCATTCCTAGGTTAAAAGAATGTGTGCACTAGTGAATTAAATATATTACATTTAATACACCCTGTGAAACATACGCAAAAGAAATGACAGGGAAAAAATACTTACTTCTTAGATAAATGCCTGGACACGTCGGTCTTTTTAAAACCATCTAAAGTATAAAGCCGCTTTGCCAAACGGATGGCAGAAGGCATATCCACCGCTTTTGGACTGTATCGAAAACTATGTAAACTTTCTATATCAGATTCATCATCTGTCGGCGGTGACTCGCTTCTCTGTGGTGGTGTCTCTATTTCTTCTGATTCTGTAGCCGCTGATTCTTCATCATAACTTTCTGTTAGCTCGTGATAAGACACATCAGCAAAAGTATCTTCAGAACACTGTGATGTAGGACTTTCTGCACTTAAATCTACCTTATCTTCAACTGGTTTCGGCACAGATAGAGAGCTGCTGCGAGAAGTAGGTGATTTATCAGCGGTCAAAGTTTGTAAGGTAATCTGTGGTTTATAAGTATCGGGCACGCAAGGTTCAAAATTCAGTTCGATGTTAGGTGGCACTTGTTTAATAGTCTTATTCAGAATCTTACTTTTATTGGTTATATCTTGGAAAATATCTGTGACATTCTCTTTCTTATCAAAGTCCATCATCCAGTCATCATCTAAATTTATTTCGGAACCAGGAGAAAAACTGCCATCAGGAGAGCCCAGGTCCGAGTCTGTGCCTCTGGACAAATCAGTAGCATCATCAAGGCTGCTAATGGCAGAAATTTGTTCGCTAGTGCATTCAAAATCTCCACTACCTTCGCTGTCTCTTCGAATGGTGGTTGAAGAGTCTGAAGGAATGATTTCAGAACCGGAAGATTCACTAAGAGGATCTGAATGAGAAGGCTTCGTATCTTGGGCATCCGTCAGTTTAACACTAATTTTTAAAGGCGAAGCTGTTTCACTAGAACTTTGTGATAAGTCACTTTTGGACGAGTTTTGGATTTCATCAGGACTTCTAGATCTGGAACAAACACCCGGACATGAACTGCCAAAATACTCATCATTTCCAATTTCATTGTACACCTCGTCTGCTTTAGTGTCTAGCAAAGTATCTAGTGATGAAGCTAATTCGTCTTCTATATCAATATTTACAGTAGCTAAAGAAGATTTCTGAAGGTGGTCTTCGCTCCTCGAAGTTCTAACAAAACTAGTGGAGTAACTAAAAGGCATTTTTTTCTCAATGATGGGACTATGGAAGGAGGATACAACGTTTTTTAATTGTCTTCCCCGTAACTTCTCAGTTTCCTCTGGACTTGCGGGTGTGGAATGGTAACCGAAAGAAAAGAAATCTAATTTTTCGTTCTTGGAACACATTTTAGAGGCCTGAGAGGAATCGGAGTTAAGACTGATGTACAGTTCATTAGGCATCATGAAAGGCTTCTTATTTGGGAATGTTTTCTTTGCGCAGAAAATATTATCACCACATTCAATGCTGTGGTACGAGAGATTATCACCGGTTGGCACAGAAGGAACTGTAGACGAATTCGCACTTTTTTCATTTTCAATGTTTTTTATGCCGACTAAAGATGGTTTTAGATGACTATCTTTTACCATAACACTGCTGTCATATCGTTCCATGACCTGCTAGCTTCAAATCAAACGGAAATCCGAGAACACCTAGTGGGTTCTACATATGACTGTAGAATAACAGTGCATAAACTGGATACAAATAAATCAACCGATATCGTCGACATTTGACAACAAATATATGTTTCTGGATCCTTTGCGCTCATTTTCAAATACACGTGAAACCAAAAGCTAAAAATAGAAAAAGAAAAATAATGTAGATTACGGTCACTAAACACCCAAATTTCATACAAAAATATTTAAATATGTTATAATAAAAAGATTACAATTAGAATAAAACTAAATTTCAATAATAACAATTTTAAGGGCTATCACATCCCTTTTCTTGATTTCATAGGTGGCTGCAGGTCACGGAGAACCTACTCGCGGGCAATATTTTATTTCTGAGTAGCGAAATGATGCCTGAAAATATCGTAATTCTATGATCAGAGTTCGTTCGAAAGAGTTAAACAATGACAATCAATGCAACAGTAAAGCAGACTAGTCAGAGAAACCATGTGAAGGCAATTACTGTTTTGAGAAGAGCTTGCAGCTTCGCCATAGGTCGACAGAAAAATCACTAGATTTAGCAAGCTTTATAGGGGCGTGGAGAAAACTTTCTAAGAAACATACAATTTATCAGGCCGAAACGGCAAGAAGGGAGTTTAGCAAATAAAATGATAAATTAAGTATTCTAAGGATAGCATCTAGACGTCGTTTACTAATGGCATTCGTAAAATAATGATTAATTTCAATAACTTAAATAACTAGTTTTTAAAGAATTTTTGGCGCTCTTTTCCATAAAGACGTTAATGGGTTTTATACCCAATTCCTTGTGTACCGCGCTGTTCTTAATGAACTAATGATCAGGAGATTAGGCGCAATATTATGCTTTGACTTCGTTATGTTAAAGGGACATGCAAAACCTTAGACGAGATATACGTAGGCAATAATGGGGCCTAATATGACCTTGTAAATGAGTAACCTGTCGCCTAAATAAAGAACAAAGTTCCGGCGCATAAAGCGAAGTAGAGACGTTTATTCTTTCGAACTTGGAAATTAAGTGAGTAATCTGAGGCTTCCATGTAAGCTGTTGATTCAATATAACACCGACAGCTACCTTAATGGGTTGGGTTTCAAGGAAAGTGATCTTTGCATATATGAGAAGATTGGAGAACGTGACCACTATCTATTTAATTGCCTATTTTCATACAACTATCGTATGTGAAAGTGAACAGCTGAGAGTTCTCATACTTGAACAGCTAAAATATGCATAAACAGAAGTACAATACGTTTCAGGTATTAAAAATGTCTTTTTTATTTATTTTTTCGTATTGTTAAAGAAAAAAATATTGCACAATTTAATTAATAGGTATCAAACACAAAATTAAAGAATTTTTTATAGCAAAAATGCCCATTTCGCAACCGTTTTGCTTTCATAAAAAACATTACTCACCAGTTCAGTTGTTTCACAGACCTTAATTACGTAAAGTACGTGAGCGGGATACAACACTATTATTTTAAAACATTATGTTTTTAGTATTTTTCACAATATTGGAAATATTTTAGCATGAACGTTGCCAGACAATAGGGCAGCTATAGAATTAGAATTTACTATGAGCAGTAAATCACACAATTCTACATAAAGTTATATGAATCTGTATTTTCCATTTTCTTCGTTTCTAGCTTATTTTGTGTAATAATGTTATTGGCTTTTTTTCCCATTCTTACATTAAAATACCCCTTTACATGCATATATATGCATATATATGCGCTAAGCCAGAAATAATGCGTATAAAATTTCGACGAGTTTATACTCAATAATAGAACGTATATCAAGTTTCAAAACAGAGATAAAACGACATCCGCATCTTCCATCTATGGAAAAAATTATGTTTGCATGCTGTTTCGATGTAGATATCTGCAAGCAAAACATACAAACAGCAGATGAAAAACACAACATTGTGCATCATTCTCAGTGTTTCTTCGGAATTCTTTCATACACAATGATTTATAGTAACTATACAGATAACATAATTCTTAGAAATACAAAAAGTTATAATAGAATTTCCAAGAATCATGATTCTGAGTTAAGAAAGAATATTAGTAACTATAAAATAATATTCCCAATATTTAGAATGAGCAACGCTGATATTTTACACTGCCGATAGAACAGCAAGTCCACTTGGGAACTGCACTTACAATCTGACCTCGACAGACGTGACCATAAGCAAAAACGCACATGCATCAATCGAATTTATTTATTTATGAAATAAGATAGATTGGTGCAAATCACACGGGACATATAAAATCGATAGTGAATGTGATAATAGTTCCGTAAGTGTTTTAAATTAATATTATTAAGTAACTTATTCAAACCACACAATTACAAACTCTCTTGGGTTTTCTTTTCTGAAAGACTTCGAACTTAGAGCAAACTACTGAATTTTTTCAGAGAAAATAAAAATTTTTGCTCTAAATTAGAATTTTCTTTCAAAATTTTCATATAGACTACAGTTAAAAAATAGGAATAGATAGTGAATATAATTTTTTTTTTTCATTTAAAAGAGACTTAATTTCTAAAGTCAACTAAAAGAAATTTCTCAAATACATTACTGAACATTTAGAGAGCATTCTTCAGAATTAATTACTGGTCATTAGAAGCATCAAAGGGCTATAAGGAGAAAAAATTTCTTTATTATAATTACGAGTCCATAATTATCCTCGAAAATACTAAGCAGAAACCGGAAATGGCATCAGCTAGTCCACAATTAGCACTGGCACTAATTTACTCCAAGAAACCTATTATAGTGCGGCTAAGCCTAGGAATTGTACCTAGGTTTGGAGTTCATGAACACTGAAGCAGTCAACAGAAAAGGAAGTTCCATTAACTATTCGCAACATACTAATGGTTTTATTTCTTTGAAAAGAATTTTCACTAAACTTCGGCTTTATTCTGTAAATTAAGAACGTATGCTTAAACCCAATTTGAACATACGTTCTTAATTCACATGTTAGCGCTTCATTTACATAATAAAAAAAATGCTGGCTGAAGTTTAAAAAGTATTAAATAAAATAAATTAATTAATTAAGTGGCCACATGCTCAAATCATTTTCATGTTCGATCCCTTTTTATCATATAAGAATTTTCTCTGACTATCATATTTGCGTAAAGACGTAAATTGCAATATATTTATCATATTTTTTAAAAATTATTTATTAAAGAGCTAAGAAACACCTTAAATTTTTTATATACAAATTACACGCCCTTAAAAAAAGAAAAATAATTAAAAAATATAAATCTTGAGATATTTTACATCATGTAAGAACCATAAAAAGCATATAATAATAATTACATGCATAAAAAAATCTAGTCTGCTTATTCATAAAAAATAAAAATTTTTAAGTTTCTGGTACACTTAATATTTTTAGAACAAACACTATATTGAAAATACCGTGTCCCGAACCAAGAAGACGGAGATAGAATAGATGGAGTAATCCTGTCACAAGAAAGAACCAAGGATATGTCAACCATGGAACTTATAAGGACCATATAAGACTCTTATAAGGTCCATGATGTCAACAACTTGACGTCACGACTTACCAAGGGCGCCGTACAGTGTACGAATGAGATTACGAAACATACTGCTATATAAAGTTACACTGTCTTTGAGAGAAAACGTCCAGATGCTCAGAAAAGTGTCTTTAGGCATAATTTACGTAAAATACATCGAAAGTTTCCCTGGTATTCTAGGTTTTATCATGTCGTATAGTTACCATTTACACATTTTCATGTACTTAGAGTTTAATGAATTTGAAACAGTTATTTGCAATCCTAGTGATTTTTCTGTGCACTAAATAGATAATAATTTATGTAAAAGCAGTAAAATTTGAACGGAAGACTTAAAAACATTCAATGATGAAAGCTAACAAAAACGATCAAAATGAAAACAAAACCTGCCAGAAGTTCGCCTACGGCAGCGGCTATGTTAAGTCGTGACGTCATACCGTGATGTTTTATGGTTTCATTTTCATTGCATGGGGCATACAGAGGAGGCTTACTTAAATTTGCTTTGAAATTCCAGTAATAAAACCATTTATCTTTTAACTCTCTGTTTTCCCTTTTATTTAAAAATTTAATCCAATAATATTACAATCTTTGACAAAATTATTTTTATTTTTAATATTCATCATCAGTTTCAAAATTAAAGCTATAAAGGAACACTATATTCCTTTAAACACATAAAAAATTCTAAACTTTTATCTAAAGTCAGCATTTTTTAAAAATTTTATCAAAAATCTTCATATATTAAAAAAACTGGTTTCATAAAAAGATTTTATACTTGAAGTACGGATCATTTTACGTAAAAATCACACACTAATTTTAAAAAAACTTAAATTTTGAAGTCAAGTGATAAATAAACATAAAAATACATAAATAGAGAAGAATTTATAAGTGCATTAATCTCTCCGCAATTAGCAGTATGGCATGTAATTGATTTCTAATTAAGCAAAAGTTGTTAAAATATCTAAATACCGGTGGGAATGTATTAAAGATTTTGTAAGTTTCTAAAGAAAAAAAAATTAAAGAGATAATTTTACTAGCATTACATTTACCAGCGAAAGTACATTTTGCAATTATTAATAAAAACTTTAATATTCAAAGAGTACTCAATGACTGTGTATAATTATTAGCTAAATTTACCGCTTAAAAGAATGTATAACAAAATAAATGTGAACAGTAAATTGCACTTCAATTTGTAAACGTTCTTTATTTGCTGTTTGAAATTTATAAGTTCATTTATAGTTAAATTCATGTCCCTGAAGGAAGGAGGTCCTTAAACAACACTGATTTAAAGGAGAACGGTAAAAGATTACAGGAAAAAAGTTATGGATGGCACAGTTAAGATAAGGCAAGGAAATACCCTAAGGCCCATACAGGATGGAAGGGAAGGATTACATCTGACTAGGCAAAAAAATTAGAACCAGATAGATCATTTTCGGAATTAAATAAGATTAAATGAAAGCTTAATTAGTACCAAATATCGCTGGTTATGTAAATACATACGAACAAAATATATTATTTTTAAATAGCACTACACCAAATACACGAATGTGATAAAATAGAATCTTTCCTGCGTAAAGAATAAAAGAATGTAAAATTATAATAAATTTAATGCTTTAG